GGCGGGCCCGGGGCTCGGGGCTCGGGGGGCGGACAGCGCTGGCCCGGCCCCGGGGTCGTGCGGGGGTCCGTGCCCAGGCCCGCCCCGCCGTCCCCGGAGCTCCGCCGGCAGCGGGACCTTACCCGGGCTCTTCTTCCCCTGCAGCCCCGGGGGCGGCAGTGGAGGCGCGGCGGAGCGGCCCGGCCCCGGCCCCGGGGCCCACGGCCCGGCGGGGCCCTGCGCCGTCCCCCGCGGGTGGCAGCGGGTGAGCAGTCGCAGGCGCGCGGGCAGGACGGCCGGGAGGATCGACGTGTACTTCATAAGGTGAGCCTGGGGCTGTCGCTGAGCTCTGTGGCCTTTCTTGGCAGGGCCACAGGAATCTGACCAGACGTCGCCCTCAAAACTGTTCTTGTCCTTCGTTTTGGGGTTTGTTTTTATGTGTTACTGAAGATTTTTAAGAGAAGAGCAGAATGAGAAAGTCACTGCTGGTTTACTTTCCTTTCCTACCACAGCCCTGAAGGGAAGAAGCTGAGGTCCAAACGAGCACTTGTGGAGTATTTGCAGAAAACTGGGGAGACAACACTGAAAGCAGCAGATTTTGATTTTGCAGCTCCTGGAGGGAGCACACGCTCAGGATTGAGGGGATCTGGCACGGGAGCTGCGAGGACTGACCTGGAAGAGGAGGATTGTCAGAGCAAGGTGCAGGAGCTCCATGCACAGAATGGTGCTGAGGCTGGAATTCAGAACATCCAGGCTGGCAGTGGACACCTGCAAGATGCTACATCTGCTGTGGAAGGCACAGATTTAGTGGTGGTAGGCACAAACCCAGAGGAGAGTTTGAAAACCAGAAGAAGGAGGACAGATGGAAGAAGTGTCCAAACTAGGAAACGTGAGAAGGGCTCAGAAAGGAGGAGCCAAGGTGACCCCAAGAGCAAGAGGCAGAGAGGAGTCTCTAGCACACGGGAGACCAGGCGTGTTGAGAGCAAGCAGCCAGGGACACGTGGAGCTGACAGCCAGGGAGGGGGTGCAGCAGGCGCTGGCCCTGGGGGTGCAGGGACAGCCCCTGCAGCAGCGCCCAGGGCACGGCTGAGGAGAGCGCCTGCCCCGCAGAGGGAGCTGGGCCACCTGCCAAAGCAGGGGCCTTGCTCCGGGGACACGCCTGCTGCGAGCCCTGAGGAGAAACCCTCTGGACTGGGGACAGGGAAGGTGCCAGCTCCGGGGCATGTGGGCAGGCAGGGAGCCCAGTCTGACAGCGAGCTGGATGCTGAGCCCTGGGACAGGACGAGCTTCACAGCAGCCACAATGTCACCAGGTGCGTGCCTGCCAGAGCAGAGGGGCTGCCAGCCCTCGCCTCTGCCCAGGCCTCGTGTTCTGCTTCAGCTCAAGCTGCTCTGACATCCCAATCTCATTTTATCCAACAGCATTTAAATTAATGCAGACCTACTCAAAACTGAAACTTACTGTGCCAAGCTCTTAAGCTGTACAGTATCAGGAGATTTAAGGTACACTTGTGTTCTGTACATGAGCATTCCTTCTGTTTCCATCACTGCATAAAGCAGAAGTGGTGTATGAAACATAACAGCAAAATAATTGCTGTCAGGCAATAATCTGAGGAGATTTAAGGTACACTTGTGTTCTGTACATGAGCATTCCTTCTGTTTCCATCACTGCATAAAGCAGAAGTGGTGTATGAAACATAACAGCAAAATAATTGCTGTTTTTTCTTAATGCTGAAGTTTATTTCTTTACAGAAGAGTCTGTCCCACGAACACAAGTGGAGAGAAGGAAAACAAGTCCCTATTTTTCCAGTAAATACAGCAAAGAAGGTATTGTATTTAGGCAAATACATTTTTTTATGGGGAGGGAACAGGATGGCTCAGGATCAGTGATGATGTGGAAAATTCCTTGCAGCTTGACACTGGCTGCAGCTGTGCCAAGTGGGACAGTCCCCAGCAGCCCTGTAAAGGCTGTGTGGGAGCTGCTTTGCCTCCCTCTGTGCACAGTGCCTGCACAGTAATGCTTCAGAGGTCTTAATTTTTTTTTTGTTTGTTTGTTTCATTAAATAGGTGAAGCCAGCCTTTCCTGTCTAATAAATGTTCCTGTGTTGCTCTGTACAGCCCCCACCCCACCCAGAAGGAAGGTCCTCAGAAAATGGACTCCTCCCCGTTCTCCTTTCAATCTTATCCAGGAAACACTCTTCCATGATCCGTGGAAGCTTCTCATTGCCACCATATTTCTCAACAAAACTTCAGGTAAGCAGAGTAGCAGGAATAGGCGTGTAAATGTTGGGAGGTGTTAGAGGGCTGAAGCAGCTGCCAGTTTCAATGGTATTCATGAAAGAATTTATTTATTTTAACTTGTGCTGCTGTGAAATAATAATCCTTAGTTGGTACCTTGCCTTGGAAAAGCTCACTTGAGAAAGCATATGGATAGTGCAGAAGGAGAACTCCATCCCAGCCTCCTGCTCACGGGATTCTTTCACCAGGGAAAATGGCCATTCCAGTGCTCTGGGAGTTCCTGAAGAAGTATCCTTCTCCTGAGGTAGCCAGGGCTGCAGACTGGAAAGAAATGTCACAGCTGCTCAAACCTCTTGGCCTCTACGAGCTCAGAGCCAAAACCATCATCAGGTTCTCGGGTGGGTTTTCCTGACGTCTGGAACAATCCTGGTTGTGCTGGCAAAAGACAAACAGCTTTGATGCAAAGGCTGCTCTGTGGCTTCTCCTCTGCTGGGTGGGTTGGTGGCTGTTTGGGCAGCATGTGGGATCCACTGGTGTCACACAGGCAAAGCTGCTGATCCCAGTCTGAGCTGGGGAGGAACTGCCAGCCACGGAGACCAGAAACTTGTTGGAGTAGGAGTAGAACAGACCCAAGCACCCGCAGCACTGCTGCTGTGTGTGAGCCCTGTTAGAGGGTGGCTCTGCTCGGGCTTGCTCTGCTGACCTGCACAAGGCCCTTCCAGCTGGGATTTTTCTGGTTCTGTACTCAGAACCTGCCGAGGAGAATTTTTGTTCAGATGAGAGAGATTACAATTAAAACTCCCACGGTGGTTTGTTGAAAAGGAGTTCAAGATTAACCTGTGGGGATTCATGGTCTGCATGCACCAGGAAACACCTGCACACCTGGCTCCAGGTGAGCTGTGCTGTTCTCCCATGGACACACCTGGCTCCAGGTGAGCTGTGCTGTTCTTCCATGGACACACCTGGCTCCAGGTGAGCCGTGCTGCTCTGCCGTGGAGGCAGGTGTGTGCAGGGGGGAGCAGCACGGCTCACCTGGATCCAGGTCTGTGCATAAGACTGCATTGTGGCTTTCATTTGAAATGTGCCAGAGTGAAGTCACGTAACAGGGGCACAGGGTCCTGCCCAGGTGCTCTTTGTGTGCAGGGGCTGAGGGAGCTCTGTGTGCAGCTCTGCGAGGGCAGGGGCTGAGGGAGCTCTGTGTGCAGCTCCGTGTGTGCAGGGGCTGAGCGCTGTGCCTGCCCCGCAGGTGAGTACCTGAGCAAGGCGTGGCGCTACCCCATCGAGCTGCACGGCATCGGCAAGTACGGCAACGACTCCTACAGGATCTTCTGTGTCAACGAGTGGAAGGAGGTGGGTGGTGCCCTTGAGCATCGCCCTTGTGCCCCCTGGCCCTGGAAAACCAACACTCACGATGTTGGAGCGACGAGGGATTTTAGGGTGTTTTAGTAAATATTTGACGTTTTCCCCGAGTCTCAGGTGCAGCCACAGGACCACAAGTTGAACGTGTACCACGCGTGGCTGTGGGAGAACCGGGAGAGGCTGAGCATCGACTGAGCTGAGCTGGGGCTGCCCCGGCCCCACCGCCCCTCGCGTCCCCTCACAGCTCTGGGTGTAAATATTTGTGTGGTGTCATGGCTGGACTCATTGCTATTTTTTTAATAAACGTGTCCCTGTTTGTAGTGCCCGTGTCTCCTTGCAGTACAGCTGCCTCCCGGGGCTGGGGCTCGCTGGGCACAGCCAGCCCGTGCCCACCGTTACCGGAGCGGGGCTGGAGCGATCGGGGCCTGCCCCGGGCGCTGCTGGAGCGGGCTGAGGCGGGAGCCTGTGCGGGGCAGACGGGCGGAGCAGAGCCGCTCGGGGCCGGTCAGTGTCCGGAGCAGAGCCGCTCGGTGCCGGTCAGTGTCCCGGGCCGCGCCGCCCGCCCGGAGCCTGAGGGACGCGCTCCCGCCCGCCCCGGCGGCAGGGCTGCGGGCACGGCCTGCGCTGTGACGCACGCAGGTCCTGTCAGCCCCGTAGCAGGCGCGCTGTCCGTGGCGGCGGGCGGGAAGCTCCGATCGGGGCGCCCCGCCGGACCGACCCTCCCTGCCCGGTGCCACCTCGCCGGGCGGCGGGCTGGCCTCCGCCCCGCCCGCCGACCCCGCCCGCCCCATAAGCGCCTGCGCGCGGAGCCCCGCCCTCTCTCGCCCGGCCCGCGGTGGACGCGCCATCGGCCCCGGTGAGTCCCGGCCGCGCCATCCGCGCCCATCCGTGGCCATCCGCGCCTCGGCGCTTCTGGCACGGACCGCGTTCCTCCCTTTCCCTGCCCTCCGCCGCATCTTTTCCCCGGGGTGCGGACAGCGGCCCCCGCGGGCCGGCACCGGGCCTGTGCCGGCCGGGGCCTCACCCGGGCCCCTTCCCGGGCGGCGGGGCCGCCG